GAATTTTTCTACGAGTTTTTCCTTCCTCTTCCTATTTTTCATTGTTAGTTATGACTTTTAGTATTGTGGTTTTACATACTATTATGAATAGCTAATTTATTATCTAGGGTTTTGATAGAACCTTTTGTAGGATAAATTCTTGTGATATTTTTATATAATTGAGCCGTTGGATTTCTCTACTTGTTCAACTATGTGTTTATTGTTGTTGATTGAATGGCCATCGATTGACTGTGCCTATTTATTATGTGTTGCTTGAGAAAGAATACATATTTAGTTGGCTTATGAATAACGTACTCCTAACATATGTGAGAAATCAATACAGCGGGTTTAAAGGCAAGTTTAGAAATAACAAAGCCTTGACGTGGTTATAGTGAGCGGTTAGGTAAAGCCAACTAGCGTAGTTCGAGAGAATATGTCTAGTAAATTATTGTAGTTGCTCAAGAGAGAATTACGGCACCTAAAGTGCTCACGATCAGTAGAGAATACATTGGCAAAATTGTAGGGAACATAGCTAGAAGGATTCCGACAATCGGGAAAATCATAACTCAAGACCTCCTTAATTTAGTCTCCAACATTTTGTCTCATTAGTTGATAATTTTACTGCTTTGTAGTATTTGCTATTTAATTAGTTAGAAATATAAATCTCAATCTGTCACGACCCAAAATCTAACGGTGGTCGTGATGACGCCTATCGTGTTACAAGGCAAGCCTATTCCCAAAATATTACTACTAATTTGATTATAAGAATTTAATAAAATATTTCCAATAATTTAATTCCTAATAAACTAAACCAACTCTAAATATAAATAATATAAAATATAAATGAGTCCCAAACATCGGGGTGTCACTAAGTCATGAGTGTCTAAAACTATGAACTGAGATATAAACTATCTAACGGTCCAAAGAAGAAATGATAAAAGGAGTAACAAGGTCCTGCGGACGCTGGCAGCTACCTTGCAGTCTCCAATTAAAGCCGGCCTGAACTCAATGATCGCCGCGCTCTAACTCACCTGGAGCTGCACATAAAGTGCAGGGTGTAGTATGAATACAACCAACTCAGTAGTAACAGAAATAACTAAGGAACTGAGCAGTAGTGACGAGCTAAGTAAAATAGTCCAATTATTTATTTTCACAATTTATAATAAACATAAATAAATAGGTAGATTCCATAACTCAGTAAATGCCACAAAAAAAATTTAACAGATAAATGCAGCAACAACACAAATAAATATAACTTCACAGCAGTGTCACTTCATCACTCAGCACTCCCACTCGACACTCAACACTCAACACTCAATACACTCAACACTCTGCACTCACTGGGGGTGTGTACAGACTCCGGAGGGGCTCCCAAAGCCCAAGTGCTAAGCACAGACAACTCACGTGCCATCATATCAATACCTGGATCCGCACGGTCAACTCACGTTCTACGCGGACAACTCACGCGCTATGGTATCAATACCTGGACCCGCACGGTCAACTCACGTGTTACGCGGACAACTCACGCGCTATGGTATTAATATCCTCACAACCAGGCCCTCGGCCTCACTCAATCATGTACCACACTAGCCTCCCATCATCAACAAATAAGGGAACACAACCCACATCAAGTATCACAGCATATTAGCAAATAATAGAGACTGAGGTAAACAAGCACAATAATTTCTATGACTGAGTACAAATAATGTGAGCATGAATAAATTAAGCCTAAGCATGATCTCTAACATGAAGGCAGACAAGTTCGAGAACAAGTAACTACGTAAACACAGATGATGGCCATAAGGCCTCACGGGACGGACCAAGTCTCAATCCCTCACGGTGCACACCCACACGCCCATCACCTAGCATGGGTATCACCACCAAACAATCACATGATATTAATTTCTCCGGGTTTATACCCTCAAAGCCAGAGTTAAAATTGTTACTTACCTCAACAGCGTAAAATCCTACTCTGGGATGTCCTCGTCCCTCGACTCGGTCCCCAAAAGCTTCGAATCTAACCATAATCAGAATACGACTATCAACATAGTCTAAAGAATCGAATTACACAATAAAAACTACATAAACATGCCAAAAATTCGAAATCGGCCAAAACCCGACCCCCAGGCCCACGTCTCAGAACCCGTCAACAATGTCAGAATCAAAACCCTCGTCCTCTCCCGAGTCTAACCATATAAAATTTATTAAAATTGGACTCCGTTTGGTCCCTCAAATCCCTACCTAAATCTCTCCAAAACTCAAACCCTAACTCCATCAATTTCACTTTGAAATCATTAATCAAATCCCAAAAACGAAGATGGATTCATTAATTTTAATCAAAATCGAGTAGAGAACACTTACCCCAATCCATATGATGAAAATTGCCTCTAAAATCGCCCAAATTCGAGTTCCCCAACTCAAAATATGACCGAAAGAACAAACCCTAGTTTTATATATTTTCTGCCAGCTATTCTGCCTCGTTTCTCATTCCAAAGGAACCCTAAACTCGTATTTTATGACTCCAATGGATTCCTTGTAAAATTCTAATCAAGTTAGGCTTTTGAATCACTCAATTTGACCTTATAACGAAGGAGATATGTAGGTTTTAATATTTGCGAATAGTGCAGATTTTTAAATACGCTGCTACTGGCAATTTCGTAATTAATCTGAAAAATCTGGCAACCTAATTCTTAGTAAAATGACCATAAAATCCTCATACGTTGTCCAAATTCGATGATTCTTTTTGCTACGGTCCGTAATTACGATACAGATCTAATGCTTCAATAAAAAACGAAACTGGAGCTCATTTGTTCAATATGATATCATTTATACTTGAAGAAACGACATCGAAACATAAGAAAAACAAGCACAACACAACCCAAACCTATCTGAAACTCACCCGAGGCCCACGGGACCTCAACCAATAATTCCAACAAGTCATATATCACTACCCGAACTTAGTCGAACCTCAAGAACACCCAAAACAACACCAAAACACCAAATCAACCTCGAATTCAAGCCTAAGAATTTCTAAACTTTCAACTTTCGCCAATTCAAGCCTAATTCTATCACCGACCTCCAAATTATATTCCGGACACACTCCTAAGTCTAAAATGACCCAACGAAGCTAATCGAATCATAAAAATCCAAATCCGAATTCGTTTACTCATAAGTTCCGATTGACTTTTTCTAACTTAGCTTTCTAACTAAGAGACTAAGTGTTCATTTCACTCCAAAACTACTCCGAACCCAAACCTACCAACTCGACACAACTCAACACAGCTGAACAATACATAAAGAAGCATAGATAGGGGAAATGGGGCTATAACTCTCAAAACGACAGGCCGGGTCGTTACACAATCTTTATAATTTAGAAAATTGTTCAAACTTGTCTTCTTAGTGATATTAAACAGATATATCTAAGCCTTAGTTCTCTGTGGAATTCGACTCCGGACTTTTTGACCGAATTATATTTGCAGCGACTGCTTATCCTTTTTAGGACTAGAGTTGGGCGTGATCAGTGCTGCTTGGTATTTTCCACTGGCAATTGGACTCACATACACTAACAGGAGAAGGAAGCACTCAGCTTATTATTTTGTAATAGCTAGTTCTTTAGACTATAGCTTTTCTATCCTTTTAGTAGCTAGTAGCTTCATGCAACTTCTATTTTGGTTTGGACATCTTGTAAGCTTTGGACCCATTTTGAAATTTTATTTATATATTAGCCACTAGGCAGCCTGCCTAGTGGTATATTTGCTATAAAAAAAAAAGGAACACATAAAGTTTTTTTTCAAGATTAGTGGATAATATGAAAATGATATTGATTCAGCAATCAAACAAAAATCAATTTTATGGCTTGCTGCAATACAGAGAATATCTAAGTAAAACTATGTATAATGCGGCGATAAAGTGAATAACAAAAAGAAGCCACAAAGATATATTACCTATGGATTTTTCCCAGTTGCAATAGTACAATTTATCAGTTCATGACATGTTTAGTATGGCCCAAATGTCATTTTTTTTTGTTCTTTTTCCCTCTTTCTGTATTAATAGTACTACAAATCTTCCTCATTGGTCAAATAGCTCCATGTGTCAATTGGAGGTGTAGTCTCATGCAGGAAAAAGCATAAAAGATCCAGCTAGCTCATTCTATCCTTTCCAAATTTAGTTATACAAAGAATTTAGTTTTGTAGTACCAAGTTTTAAAAAAAAAATCAATCCAATAGTATTTACTGAAGTTTTATCTGCTTTGTATATTCTATACATGAACAACATCATCATATAACAAGCTACTAATTCTTACTCCCATTATCTCATAAATATTCATTACGATATGAAGCGCATCATCATAGAATGTGTTAATAGTTCTACCCTCTATTTTGGCGTAGACCAGTAGAATTCAACGCTATTCTTCAATCGAAATTTTCAGTGTGGTGCAAATAAGCAAAAACACACTATGGTTATAGCTATTGATAAAGCTAACAGAATCTAGCATTTGATCCACATTAGTTACATTCTCTTGCACCAAAGTATGGGGAAAAAATCAAGGAAAGATCAAACTTATATTCTACTACCTTGAATGCATTTTCTGTTTCTTCCAAAAATAAACCAACAACGGGAAGTAAAGAAGAACCATAAACATACTACTGGGGGACATTATTTAAATCGTTACAATGTATATTTGAGGGAGATATGCAACGCACTCCCTTTACCTTTTGTTCTACTGTTTTCTGAGCTCCTAAGTTCAACAACAACAACAACAACAATCCAGTATAATCCCTACCCCTACCCTGGGGGTAGAGAGGCTGTTTCCAAATAGACCCCCGGCATCCTTCCCTCCAAGAACTTCCCACCTTGCTCTTGGGGAGACTCGAACTCACAACCCCTTGGTTGGAAGTGAAGGTTGCTTACCATCAGAGCAACCCCTCTTGTCTAAGTTCATTCTGATTAATATGAGCTTCTAAATTATTATCAGTGCATTCATATTAATTTCTCTATTTTGCCACACCATTGGACCAATATGTCTGAAATACCAAATCAGATCTTTATATATCATTCGTTGTTAGCAATTTAATCACCCTGCATAACCACCTACCTCCAAAATTGAAACTCTCACTATATCCATCTCCTCCTGCCATGAAAAAAGCACTTCGAGAACAATCAATTAAAAGCACCAATCTCTAAATCATTAAGACAACTGCTATTTGAGAATTGTATGGTCCTTTTTTATTAAATTTTGTACGTTTGATGATTAAATTTCAGCTCTAATTCTACAGTATGAAAGAGGAACTTAGATTTCATGTGCGAACTTAGATTCCTGTTAACATTAATTTCTCATTACCTCAAGCATAGTCAACTGTAATAAAGTTCTTTTCTGATACATAAGAAACATCATATATCTAATTGCCCATCATAAATTTTTTCCATAGAATTGAAATGTCAATCGAGGCAGCCTCAGTAGAAAAATTAAGAGTATCTAATTAGTTCTGTTAACAATAAGATTATATTTTAGCTGATTAAGTGTTAAACTGCATTTGTTTACCTTTCACATAGACAATATATTTCCGCTAGAGTCTGGACGTCATCATATAAAATACCACCTGCAAAGTAAGACAAAGTTAAGCAAAATAAGCAAAAAGAAGCGTGATTCTTGATTGAATATACTAAATAGACACAAAACTGACTTAAGATTTGGAAAGATTGATCTGAAGATAAAGCTATAAGAAAATTACTTGCAATGGTTTTTTTAATCTTCATGATTGCTTAGGCACTCGTTGAAAAAAATCCATATAAAGAGTCAATACGTGCCAGTATCAGGCCAAGTGCCTATGCGAAGGAAAAAACAGTTTCGTCTTAGATATAGGTACTCAAATGATAGAGTCGGTCAACAAAAGTTTGAAATAATCAATTAATAATCATCACAAAGTATTATGTTTGTCTTATACAATTACCACAAATCATAGGCTAACTAATTCTACTTTTGAAAGAAAGAAAAATCAACTCAAATCCAAGTTCTTCGAAAAGAAATATTGTAGTAATTTACGAAGCAATGAAAGCATGTAATTGTAAAACTTCTAATATTCAAATACTACTGTTGCAAAAATTGGGGTATTTAAGCTCTACTTTTATTAGCAGAAAATATTATTCATAAATCATAAATATATCATTAAGCAATTTTCAAACCCAAATTCTAAACCTTAATCACCTTGAGTTTGTGAAAACTTTCTCCAAAGGTAGATTCTGTTGGACTATATATACGGATGTGTATTCATGTTTGTTTCCCCTATTCATCTTCGTCTCTATGTCGATTAGTGATTCTTCTCCAGTTTAGCTTATCTGCAGACCCATTTTCAAGAGAGTCCATAAAAGATTGAACTTTATGAAAAAAGTGTCGCACACGATAATAAAAAGAGTTACAGAGCAGCAATGTTAGTTGATGAATAAAACAAAGATAAAGAAGATCAACAGAGCAGCATGATATACATACCTTACTATCTAGGTGATAAAATTAAGACTTATTAAGTATCGCAGTACATAACAACCTTGAAATTGCAAAATCAACAAGCACATGAGGCACCCAGGAAAGCACGAAATTCCAAAACTCAGCAAGGCTAAGCTTAAAAAAATACAGTATTACCACTCGATTTAACAAACCAGTGAATTGCAAAATTAAAATTCACGAAGAGAACCCAACAAAAGAAAAGAAGGAAAAGGGGATCTTTAAAAAATCAGAGAAGAAAAAGGGGAAGAGAACCTACAATAGCCATTGAGCTTCAGAATTAGCGAAAAGAAAACAAAGGGAAAAAAAGATGAAGAGAAAAGAGAAGAAGATGTGACAAAACCATTTAATTTCAGGAGAAGCCAAAAGAAACCCAGAGGGAAAAAAGAACGAAGATAAAAGGAGAAAAAATATGTACCTGCATCTAGACTTGAGATGAGAGCGAGAAGAAAATCAGGTAGAAGACGTGTAATTAGAGACAACACATTAATGGAAAATCTCATATGTTAGTGTTTTTAAAATACAACTGGAGTCACATGAAAGTTATACGTAGAGTTTTTCTAGACAAATCAAGCCACGTATACTACATTGATAGGAAATACTGAGAATGACTAAATTACCCTCGAACTTTACAAAAGAAGACACGAAGCTGACAGGTCGAAACTTGAGCTAAGGCTGTATTCTCGCCGGGGCCGGGCCTAAACGGGTCAAACGGGCCGGGCCAACGGTCACGGGCTTAGGCAGGCCGGTCTTTGGCGGTCCCGGGCCAAACGGTCCCGGGCTTCACGGTCCCAATGGGTGGAACCAGCTCACGACGGTCCTAAGCCCACATGGTCCAGGGTTAAATGGGGCGGGCCTAACGGGCTTTTTCGTTCCGGGCTATTTTTTTTAATTTTTTTTATCTAAGGCAATTTCTTGTAAATTATATATGTATATACTAATATAAATTGCTTATACATAGCTATATAAATATATATATAGTATATAGAATATGTGTTAGAATATGTATATATGTAGTATCTAGTATATAATATATATATTATATTAAAAGCGGGAAGCCTTTAAGTTAAAAGTTAAATTACTGAAATGCCCACTAAAAGTTAAAGACTTTTTTATAATTATATTTAAATAAAAAATTATTAGTTTGAAGAGTCCTTTCCTGAAACGGTTGTGTGCTTTCAATTGTTTAACTAATCTTTATAGTCGAAACAAACTTACCCTTTCAAAATTAGTGTCCATTCGTATGGCAACCTAATTATAAGAAGATACTCTAAAAAAAATACGTGAATTTATATAATCCAATATTAGAATTTTGCTGAAAAAATAAAGGATAATCATGGATGACACAAGCAGCCCTTAGAAGAAAACATTGAAGATACAGAAAGTCAAGAAAGTAATTTTGCATGCACAATGCTATGAGAATTTTCTAAAGCAGAAGCAAAGTGGATAAAGTTCTTTGGCTTTCAAATTTTCCAACCGACGCACCAGTATGTTTGTAGTGCCAATTACATCGCTTCAAAATCATTGGTGACTTGGTTCATGGCAATTAAAGATTGCAGTCGGTGATGAGTTATAAGTTGGCAATATAACCGAGTTCTACTTTCTTAACCCTATTATTTATTTATTTTAGTTTCTACCCTTTTAATTTACTAAAATCCAACTTCTACGATTTATAGGGTAGAGTAAATTTTGAAGTGATAATCTCATGTTGCACAAATTAATGCATAATTAGGAATAATATATGTTTACAGTTTAATTTGTTATTCTTTTTGCTGCCTAATAAAAATTTTGACATATAAATTAATTAGATGCATCAAACAAGAAGATCATTGATAAAGTTACCAGACATGCATGAATCAGAACTTGCACTATTTTTTTGATAATATTCTTGAGATCATGAAAATGATATCTTATATATAGACCATATTGGCACTAAAGACATATATATATATATATATATATATATATATATATATATATATATATATATATATATACTTGGTGAGAATATACGATCAAAATTTAGATAGGTTAAAAACTTTAGCATTTATTGAAAACCATTGCACGAATTACTGCGCTGCCATATAAATGATTGACAAAGAAGATGCAGAAGAAATGATTTTCTCTTTCTTGTTTGGGAAAGTATTAGATACATATTGTTTAATATATTAGCGGTTGATTATTCCTATTTTCTGAGCCCGGGTAATATAATTAATTGATTTGATGAGAATGAGTATGTATCAATTTGGTTTGAAATTTCATTAAATGGTATAATAAAAAATCTTTGATTCAAAAGGCTCTCTTTGAAAATGGTCTAGCTCTCAATAAGCAAATATATCAATATGAAAGTTTGCAAATTAAACGTTCCTCCTAATTGAGTAAATGATACAGGTAGGTTTTACTGCTTTCGAGTGCTATGTTAATTTATATGCACTATACTTTTATGTGTTCATGTATAATTATTTAATTAAAGTATTAAATTAATAATATGGATATTATTATACAAAAAAGTATATTATATGACTTGGCATATACGTGCAACGCATGTGCCGCAAAACTAGTTATTATAAAAGTGGGAACCTCAAAAGTTAAAAGTTGAATTACTAAATTGCCCTTCTAAATAACTTAAATACTTTATTAAAANCAAAGAGATATTCAAGGGAATGTCTTATAATTTTTATTATTACGACATTAACAAAAATGACAATATCTTTCTTAGTCTTCCTCCCCCCAATGGAATGAGCACAACAAGGTGCTAATACCACCATTAAAAGGAAAAAAAACTAAAGAAGATGTGCCAAAGTACAAGTTACACTATAATCTACATAGTATCTCTAACAAATTTCATAAATCCTTCAAGGTTCGGAGGAAGTTCCGTTGGTGGTGGCGGAAAAGAAGCTTGTTCATCACCGCTTCCGGGCGAAGCAGCATCCTCCGCAAGTTCCGCTATCATTTCTTCATAAGCTTCGTCTATCTCTGGTTGTGATTCTGCAAGTCCAAAATTTCTTCTTTCCGAGCGGATCCAATCTCTGAATAGTACTGATTTTTCCAAGCTCTCCCTCATAGACGCTCTATGATCACCTATTTGAAGTCTTGCTTGACTGAAAGCGCTCTCTGATACCACTGTTGAAGCTTGAATACATAAAATATCCCGAGCCATCCTTGCAAGAACCGGAAAATATTTTTCTCTGGCCTTCCACCATTCTAAAAGATCAAAGGTGCCGTCTGGATTCTCCTTTTCAAGGCCCTGCGACAAATAAACTTGAAGCTCATTTAGATGTGAAGTATCATCAATATTATCACCTTGAAAGCCCCTGAACTCCGCCCAAGAACTAAGTGCTTTTAGGCCCGCAGTTCTTTTAGACGATTGTGAACTAGACGAAGTAGGAGTTGGAACATTTGGCCTAGCATGATCTAAGGCAAGTTGATAAGCATTATAAATTGTTTGAGCATTTATTTTAATTGAGGCTTTTGCATCTGCAAGTGTAGCAAATTCCTCTTTTGAAAGATCTAAAGCCTTATAAATATTTGAATACCAAAAGTGAGGACCTCCTAATTTCATGGTAGGATTTAACATGGCAGCAACACCATAAATAGGGGGAATAGGGAAAAAATATTATTTAAACTTTTCTTTCATTACATTTATAGCAAGTTGATAAATTTTCCCACCCTCTGAAAAATCAACAAACAAATCACATAGTGCTGCAATATAAACTAAACAGTTTGAAATAGTAGGATAATATTGCCCAGACAATTCATTTGTAGCTTGATGAAATTGTTGTAAAAAATCTATAAGAATTTTTACATTATTTCAATCTTGATTTTTAAGGATTTCATCATAATCCTTGCCACCAACACGAGCATTAAACCTTGCATTAATTGGGTTTCTATATTCATATGCAACTACTAAACTTTCGTACATATAATTCCATCTAGTCGGACAAGCTTTAGGAACCTTTCTTTCTCTAAGACCAAATTCATCACATTTTTTAAAATACTCTCTAAGTCTACTTCTACGGTTTGAATAAAAAAGCCAATTAAGAGCCATTAAAACCTTTTCAATTTCTAAATTTAAAATTCTCATACCATCACCGACGATTAAATGGTAAATATGACAAACACATCTAACATGGAAACAATTACTAAATGCAGGATTTAGTGTAGTTGTAAGTAAGCCTATAGCATTAGTGTTACTAGAAGCATTATCCATAGAAATTGACATTATTTTATCTCTAATGCAAAAATGTCTACAAATATCTGCAACAGTGTTAGCAATAAACTTACCTGTGTGACGTGAATTAATTATTCTATAAGCAATAATGCGTCTTTGCATTTTTCATTCTTCATCAATCCAATGAGTAGTTACAGTAAGATAATCACAGTCATTACCACTTCTACCAATATCAGTGGTAATAGCAATCCGACAATCTATATGAGTAAATAAATACCGCAAATATTATTCATATTCATGTTTATATTTATAGATATTGCTCTTTACGGTTGCGCGAGGCCAACCTTTATAAGTAGGATTAAAAACTCTTCTAATATAATGCACAAAGTGAGGGTTAGAAGGAAAACTATAGGGCACATAACAGTAACCATCTTTGCTAATTCTTCACGATCTTTATTTGGATCGTAATATAAAATACCACCGATCATAGTGTTAATTCCTGGTTGAACTAGATTTGAACCTGTACTAGGGTTAACCGTAGTATCTACACTTGTCCCCTCTAGTTGCGCTTTCATTTGTAAAAATTTAGCTTTATCTCTAGGGTGTGTTTTTATTTGTCTAGTCAAACTACCCGTACCGCTAAGGTCTCCAGTAAATTTATGCGCAAGCAAACCCCCACAAGTTTTACACTTAGCCTTATTTTGTTCTCTTAATTGAGTAAAAAAGTTCCAAACAAGTGATGTTTCGGGGCGTTTAGAAGGTTGTCTATTAAAAGTAGGGGTTTCAACAGGTGGGTCGGGCGGGGCATCAGTTGGGTTATTAACAGGACTAGTAGGTGTATCATCTAAATCTGGTTGGGTTTCATCTACATCATCATTTTCCTCATCATTTCAAAGATAGTTTCATTAGGATAAAGAGCATTCATAACTTCTTCATTTAATTGTTGACCTGGTGCAACATCATGGCAAAATTCACTATCGGAAAATTAAAAATAAGGGTTATCACTATCAAGAATAATAGGTGGAGGAGGACAGGTAACAGGTCTGGGTCGGGGAGCCGGGGAAAGGGTAGTAGCTTGGCGACTAGATTCACCAATTTTAAATTTTCCCTTACCACCAAATATTTTTTTCAAAGAAAAGGTCATATTAATTATAATTATACAAACTAAAACAAACAAAACTATATTCTTAAAACTTAAGAGTTGGAACGAGTTTACCGAATTGACGAACAACTTC